GTGATCGGCTGGCTGCTTCCAGTCGATTAGAGAGGTGAAAAGCTGAAAGTGTGCCAGTAATCTTCAAAGGGCAGAACATACCATCTCTGCCCCATAAACTGTTCTCTCCGGGGGAAAAAAATGGAAGTTATCCTCACAGTTCACTGCCGTGGTATTTCTTCTGTCCCATGCTTTGCATGATTGCCATGGTACAGCATTGTTTCCAAATGTTTACTGTGATCTGTGGGTCTTTGAGTTTCAGTGAGTTTGCTGAAATGTCGAAGAAATATTTCCAAACTTCAATGTTCAATGAAATTTTTGTTCAAGTTTGAAATGGAGAGAGCAGCTTTAAAAGGTACTAAGCCTTTTACAAATTGGTGAGTACTGGCACATGAGACCTAGAGCAGGAGCAACTTCTCACACTTAGTCAGTGGGAAAAGAAAGCAGTGCTTTGAAAGTTCCTCCCTCACCTACACAGTAGTCGTCATGTCGAGACCTGCCAGAGAGAGACACATTCTCAAGTGAATCCTGGCTTCTTGGAAGCGCTTGCCTAGACGAGACACAGTGCATAAAAACAACTTTTGGGGGACAGGTATGTTTTTCTTGCAGCTGCGGTTGTAAGGTCTTGGCAAGACAAGCAGTGTGGCCCGAATTTTGAACTTCTGATGAGTGTGTAATGCAAAGGACCTTGTACGTTTTTGTTCAAAGGTCCTCAAAATGAGCACATGAAGAGGTTGCTGTGAAACTATAAGTGGCCCTACTGCGCAGAAGCATTCAGATGTCACTTGATGATCTGTAAGGGGACTTGGCCGATTTGGGAATGTGCTAGGGAGAATACATATTGCTTTCGACAGGTGCTATCACTGGGTGGGCAATGACCTGTACAGATGCCATGTGCTTTTTTTTTTTTTTTTCTTTTTTTTTTTTTTCAACCTCAATGGTATTCCTACAGAGAATGGATAACCATTTTAACTGTATTTTTTGCAGCCCGTACCTTCTTGGGAATACAATTGTCTAACTTTTTATTTTTGGTCTGGCTGTTGTGGTGTGCAAAACTCCGTACATTGCTATTTTGCCACACTGCAACACCTTACAGATGTGGAAGATGTGAAATTTGTCATCAATTATGACTACCCTAACTCCTCAGAGGATTATATTCATCGAATTGGAAGAACTGCTCGCAGTACCAAAACAGGCACAGCATACACTTTCTTTACACCTAATAACATAAAGCAAGTGAGCGACCTTATCTCTGTGCTTCGTGAAGCTAATCAAGCAATTAATCCCAAGTTGCTTCAGTTGGTCGAAGACAGAGGTTCAGGTAAGGCTACTTCAATAAGATATATGGGTAGTTTTGGGATCACATTGCTATCTACAAATCCACTTAAATGGAACCTGGAGGGTGAGTAAAATTTTGAAATTTCTGTTGTGAAACTGTAAAACCCACTTCAAACCTAGCATGAATAGAGCTACCCAATTCTTTCTGTGTTCGCAATAATTTGTGCCATAGACCTAATTGATCAATTTGCAATTATTTTCTTAACAGGTCGTTCCAGGGGTAGAGGAGGCATGAAGGATGACCGTCGGGACAGATACTCTGCGGGCAAAAGGGGTGGATTTAATACCTTTAGAGACAGGGAAAATTATGACAGAGGTTACTCTAGTCTGCTTAAGAGAGATTTTGGGGCAAAAACTCAGAATGGTGTTTACAGTGCTGCAAATTATACCAATGGGAGCTTTGGAAGTAATTTTGTGTCTGCTGGTATACAGACCAGTTTTAGGACTGGTAATCCAACAGGGACTTACCAGAATGGTTATGATAGCACTCAGCAATATGGAAGTAATGTTCCAAATATGCACAATGGTATGAACCAACAGGCATATGCATATCCTGCTACTGCAGCTGCACCTATGATTGGCTATCCAATGCCAACAGGATATTCTCAATAAGACTTTAGAAGTATATGTAAATGTCTGTTTTTCATAATTGCTCTTTATATTGTGTGTTATCAGACAATAGTTATTTAAGAAACATGGGAAATGCAGAAATGACTGCAGTGCAGCAGTAATTATGGTGCACTTTTTCGCTATTTAAGTTGGATATTTCTCTACATTCCTGAAACAATTTTTAGGTTTTTTTTGTACTAGAAAATGCAGGCAGTGTTTTCACAAAAGTAACTGTACAGTGATTTGAAATACAATAAATGAAGGCGATGCATGGCCTTCCAATAAAAGATATTTGAAGACTGAATTAAGTGGAAATTGTACTTTATTTTACACATTGTCATGTAAAACTTGGCTTAGATGGTATGGGTTTTTGGTTTTGCTTTTTAAAAAAAAAAAAAAACTAAAGTGACTGATTTTTCCATTGGGAAATGGGAATCAAGAGGCCCCTTTAAAATGGGATGATTAAGGTAAATTTACGATTTTTTGACTAAATTGTATAAAAGCTTTGTCAGTAAGCTTCCAACATCAGGGAGTCATTTTTAATAGCCTGTTTTCCTTATTTGTTAGGATGAAAAAACAGTAGTAAGATAATAGAATCACCTGTATGGAATTGGAACAAACATGTATGACTGTTCTTTTGCAAAGTCTATAAAGAGCTTCAAATAACTTGCTTTTTCAAGAAGATTGTATCAGCAGCTGGGTATATAGCTCAGCTCAGTTGGTAGAGTGCTTTCCTCACATGCAAAAGGCCCTGGGTTCAATCCCCAGTACAATGAAAAAAGAAAAAAATTCATGCTCTTGACTGTATTGTGAACAACAAACATTTAAGCCTGAGAGCTGAGTCTTTACTGATTGAATATGCATAATGTCCTTAGTGCAGATTACTTGTAGATTCTAGTCTTTAAAGACTTTTCAGGTCTCTTGGTCATACTGAGAGTCATGAATGTCCTCATAATTCAGGGAGTTCTAGAGGTCTTCAAACTGTAAGGTCTATTCATACTCTTAACGGGGAAAACCTCATCAAAATGTTTAATCTGAGGCAACATAACCAAAAGCACAGTGAATTATACAGGTCAGGTCTTCATGTTAGATTCTACATGAGTTTATTGCTTTAAAAGAAAAAAAATCCAGGGGATAGTATTAGAGTTAACTTTGGTTCACCCACCTTTCTAATTTTACCAATGACTACTTCCCTATAAGGTCTGTTATATGTTTACCTTAGGATGTGGAAAGTCTAAAGGAGTCTTCATTTAAATTCTGAGGATTAAGTTGAGGCTTTGATGTTTAATGCCTTACCTCTAAAATGTAAAATGAGAATATGCTTAGGGTGGGGGCTGGGATAGGGAGTGGTATTTCTGGAACTAATAAACATTGAAAACTGAATTCAGCCTCTAGTACCCTGCCTGAATAGTTTTCAGTGGCATGGGTTAGTCTTGTGATTTTTAACTTAGAAAAAGCTTTTGGGATAGGTTGGAGCACTTATTACATATTTATTGTTTAATGTCTTTAACATGAGCCTTTTTAATTTGTAAACATATGGAAGTGATTGTGGGACTGTGGAAAAAAAACATTTACCTATTTACCTTTGAAATTTTAAGACAGTCCACTTTTTAGCATGTGTGTTGTGTCCAGCCTGTGGTTGTCTTTAATAAATGTGATTTTTTTTTCCTCCCCATTCTCTTCCTTTATTTATTTGCGAAGAAGCCTCTTCCCTAGTGAATTAGTGTAGAACAACATTTATTACTGTAATTGTTGACCTTCTCTCTCCCCCATCTGTTTGTTAACACCCACTTTGTAAGGAATTATTTCTTGAGCCTGTCCTACAACTTTTCCATGATCAACGTCCCCACCCCACTTTTTGGGATTGAAGTCGGGAGCATTTGACCATTAAATTACATCCTCATCCCTTTGGAGACAAGGACTGGCCAGCTGGCCTCAAAAACACATCCTGCCTTTTGAGTTGCTGGCGTTATAATTATGTGCCACCCGGGCCAGCAACGACAAAATATAACTAATTGAATTGCTAAACAGCCCCTTCCTTGGAACCTAGTGAAATGTAGCTTGTTACTCTCTACTGGGCCTATTAATCTTAAAACTTTCCAGAACCACCTAAGGGAAGCTATTAGGAAATGAACTTTGGAATCAGCTACTTTTTATCTCTGGCTGTATTTTCCCACTAAGCAATTAAAGTCTCTTCCTGTTAAAAAAGTGATTGTAAAGTCATCACATGTCTGCTAGATAGGTGGTTGAGGGTTCTGATCTTGGGAGTCTAAACCCAGGCAAACATCCCCTTTTGAAAAAGGCTGCTTGTACGTTAGGGGTTCTGTATCAGGGGAGGGCTTTTTTAAAACACAGCTGGAGGGATGGGGGTCATAGCTCAGTGGCAGAGCGCTTGCCTAGCATGTGTGAGGCACTAGGTTCCTATCTTGGCACCCAAGTCCATTGATTTTACTAAAGTATTAAAAAAAAAAAAATGGCTGGAGCTCAGTTCAAGACCACTCCAGGAGCTTTCTACCGGCAGCATTTGCCCTGAAAGCCTGGGTCTAAACCATCATAATGGTTAATTTTTTTTTTTTTTTTTTTTTTAATTTGGTGGGGAGGGAGTACTGGGGATTGAACTCAGGAGCATTCGACCACTGAGCTGTGGCTTTTAATCTGTCTCCTTTTGATCACCGGTGCTGACCTTACATCACGGGTCTCACTACGTTGCTTAGCGCCTCGCTTTTGCTGAGGCTGGCTTTGAACTCGCGAGCCTCTGGGAGTACAGGCGTGCACCACTGAGTCTGGCTAAAACCTTTTTAAAAATGGAAGCCAAATTTTATTTTTGTAGACACCTAAGATTAAGTAGTTTATTTAAATGGTGGTTTGGAGAACACAAATTTTGGTCGTATTTCCGGATTTCAAAGTATGGAAGTTAAAGTTGACTCAAGTGACTGCAGGACGCTGGTGAAAATTAGAAATGAGATACGGGTGAAAAAGGACCAATGACCAGCAATTGCCGGCAGGGGAGCCGGGGCGGGGGGCCGGCGCTACTAAACTGCTGTGAGTAGGTAGACAGTAAAGAGCCCGTGAGCAACACCGGGCGGGGCAAGCCGGAAGTGGCTGTCAATTCAGTGATTCACTTCCGGAGGCGGGTCCTTCCAGCGCATGCTCGTTTCCATCGCCTGCGGCGTCGTCCTCGAGAATTGCTACAGTTTGTGGCAGTTTGTTGGGCTCTTCACAGTGATGGGGTGTCGTGCTCTTTAACTCTTGAAGGAGATGCGCTCTAATGTAGCCATCAGGGCCTGCCGAAAAGTCTGCAGGTGTCTGTTGTCTGGGTTTGGGGGTCGAATAGAAGGGAGACAAGCCGAGCGTTTGGCGGAAAGGAGTGGCTCCCTCGGAGGGCACCCGAACGCCCACGCGGAGCTCGCCCGGGGCTGCGAGGAGACGGAAGCCCCCGAGTCTGCAGAGAGTGAGGCGCTGGTGGAGGTTTGTCAGAGAAGGCATTTTCTTAGCGGAACTAAGCAGCAGCTTAGCCGAGATTCTCTTCTGAGCGGGTGCCACCCGGGTTTTGGACCTTTAGGCATAGAGCTGCGGAAGAACCTGGCCGCAGAATGGTGGTCCTCGGTGGTGGTGTTCAGGGAGCAGGTCTTCGCGGTGGACGCCGTCCACCACGAACCAGGCCCTTCACTGCCGGGAGACGGCGCCTTCAGGTTAGTTTCGGCAGAAACTCTACGAGAAATCTTGCAAGACAAAGAACTGAGTAAGGAACAGCTAGTAGCATTTCTTGAGAACTTATTAAAAACTTCTGGGAAACTCCGGGAGAATCTTCTTCACGGTATGGTTCTTCACGATTTCATGCTTCAAAAACAGGTTTGGGGTAGAAAGGCAATCTCACTAAGTTTGGGGATTGCATCTGGTCCTTTTTTTCCCCCCATGCAAAGGAAGTCATCTGGGACTCGCCTCACTGAAGTGGTCCGTGGAGCAAATTGGTCCATGGAATTATTACTGTTTCTTAAAGAATTTGAATGGAAGAAGCTAGTAATGCTCTCAGTTTCACCGAGCAACCCCATAGACTTTTACAGCTCAATTGAATAGCCTAGAATTAAGAGCTGAGTTCAATCAAGTGTTTGAACCATTTGCTCATTGTTAACAAAAATGTTTACAAATATTTCCACAGTTATCTAATTGACTAATCAAAAGGTTTTTCTTTTCCCGCTTGAGCAAAAGGAAAAATTCATCCTTTCTCCCCAAATTAATCTTACTGAAAACTGATCTGCAGACTGGTTTGACCCTTTAGGTAATGTTTGAGTTTGCCAACTCTTAAGACTAATCAAGCTGTATAAGTATTTGTTGAGTGAATACACAGTAATTTGTGGGGCATTGTTGGCCTTTAAAGTCAAACACAACATAATGCCAAAATTCTGAAAGAAAAAAGGACCTCAGGTTCTTTACAGGACATACTTGCTGCCATAGGGTCTCATTTTTGTGAAATTTTGTCCTTGCCATCTTAGTACTATAGAGTAACTTAAAATATCGTAAACATCCATAGTTATGCCCATATTGTATCCTTTTAAAGATTTTCTTAATGAAATAAAGCAAATAAAAACAAACTGGTCAGATGCTGAGGTTGTGACTCAGTGGTAGAGTGCTCACCTAGTATGCATGAGGCACTGGGTTCGATCCTCAGCACCACATAAATATAAAGATATTGTGTCAACCTAAAACTAGAAAATAAATATTTTTAAAAATTGGTCATCAGTATGATGGTTTATATTCATAACACTTTATTTCATGATGGCTTTACTTTGGGATGTTGAATCACTATCTGCTCATTTACCATGACCAGGAAACAGATCATCTTCTTTCCTGTCTGTTAAATGGAAGCATGGTCTTTCCAGGTGCAGAATTAGAAAATGAAACATCCATTCATTTGAGCATCTATTTAGTTAGGAAACTTACTTGATTTAACTGCCAGTTCCTTAGTTGTCTAGTGTTTTTAGCTTAAACTTTCCCAGTTTGCCTTTTTTTTTCTGTTCCAAGTGCCTTTGTGCCCTTCCATCCCATATCTGAACTGTTGTGATACCCTCTACTTATAAGTTTTAAAAGTTTCTTAGCCATTCTGTCTCCAAATACTGCCCTGCGCTATTTTTATGCCTATATGTGGCTAATTATGTTAGACCTTTTCCCCATCTTGTCATCAATTTTCTTCAACACATTAACCATGTTTTAATGTTCATGTCTAATAACTCTAATGTATCTATTTTTATTATCTGTTTCTCTCTGAGCTTTTGGTCATTTGGACTCTGATATTCTAGGTAATTCATACATAAAAAGTTGTAGAGATAAATTGAAGTTACAGGTGGTGGTTTCTTACTGGAAGGATATACTTTTGCTCTGGCAAATACAGAGAGGGAGTGGGGTGCATAGCTTCTTTTTTTCTTTCTTTTTTTCTGATACCAGAGATTAAACCCAGGGGGACTTAACCATTGAACCACATCCCCAACCCTTTTTATTTTGAGACAAGTTGCTGAGGGCCTCATTAAGTTGCTGAGACTGGCTTTGAACTTGTGATATTCCTGCTTCAGTCTCCCAAACCTTGTGATGCATATGTTCTTAACAACATCAGGGACTCAGCTGATGAGGGATGTGGCTTCAGATCTTCACCTCTAGTGTGTAGTCCTGTTGGTGTCCCCAGTGAAAATTGGGTATTTACCAGGCCTGTTGGGTCACCAACAACAAGTTTTGTATTTCCCAGTAACAGCATTCAGCAGGATGCTCTGCTACTTGGGGAATTTGAAGAGAATCACTAAATATTGAGTTTACCTCTCTGTTCTTCCCTACTTTCCAGATCTTGGACCCTCATATTCCTTTCTGCCTTGGTAATGTCCTGTCTTTACACAGATTTTAACAAAATTTTGACCAGTATCTCTCATTACAACTTAGTTTCCCCAAATCAGGTAACGTGCAGTGCTGTAATTTACTGAGATGTAATCTGAGTGCACAAAGAACTTTTTTTACAATTCTAAGTAGAAATGTTATAATTCTAACTCTGAAATTATTTAATGTATATTAGAGGATAAAACAAATAGGTAAATGTTATTGGTACCAAGATTTTCACTGTAAGAGAAAAGGCAAAAATAAAAGGGAAGGCAAGGATAAACTGTAATGTTAATTGTGAACTGGGAATATCAGCATGAACTCATGTAAAACTACATATTTCTCAACTGTCTTTATTGAAAGAGCATAGAAGCAATGATATTCCATAGCAATGAGCACACTTAGCTCTAAGATCTTAATTTCTAAAATGAACCAATGCTTGGAGAAGTGGCTGATTCCAGGTCTTGGGCAGGAAAAGTACTAGGTGAGTTTGGAACACTTAATGGGACTAGAAAGCAAAGGGACACAGAAGCTAGCTTGATTTTGCACAAATTGAGCATTTAAAAAACATTGATCACGATGGATCATAACGCACTACGTAAAATAAATCTTACAGCCCATAGTGTTAATTAAAAAAATAATAATGAAGCCAAGGGTAGAGAAGAAGGGGTAGAAAAAGCATTTGTTTTAAAATATCAGGTGGGATATTATTGGAAAGCAGGATATTATTGGGGAGTAGATACTTACTACCTTAACTAAATAATCAAATTTGGTTGTGTAAGTATTGGAATAATGTGTGCTTTCCTGCTAAAAATAGTTAGCTCAAATTCAGTCTTAAGAAAACAGTAGATAGGGACTGGGACTCAGTGGTAAAGGGCTTGCCTAGCACATGTGAGGTGCTGGGTTTGAACCTCAGAGCCACATAAAAATAACTAAAGATATGTGTAAAAAAAGAAAACAATAGACAAATTACAAATGTGAGATAATGAATGACAGTCTGGATTAGAAAGCAAATGACAAAAATGTCATTGAAAGCAAAGTTGAGTTGGGAAGTCTTCTCAAGTCTTCTCAGTGGAAAGATTGAAGAAACCTATGGGGCTGGGGATGTGGCTCAAGCGGTAGTGCGCTCGCCTGGAGTGCGTGCGGCCCGGGTTCGATCCTCAGCACCACATACAAACAAAGATGTTGTGTCTGCCGAAAACTAAAAAAAAATAAATATTAGAAAATTCTCAAAAAAAAAAAAATAAAATAAAATAAAATGCAGTACATGGACCTTAATTAGAAAGAAAAGAGCAAAAAATGATAATTTGGGTGACAGAATAAAATATCAACCATGTGGGCTGAGGTTGTGGCTCAGCAGTAGAGCGCCTAGCACATGCGAGGCCCTGGGTTCGATCCTCGGCACCACATATAAATAAATAATATAAAAGTATTGTGTCCAACTACAACTAAAATAAATATTAAAAAAAATATCAACCATGTGCTGAATGATACTGTGGTTAATTTTTAGGTGTAATAAAGGTAAGCCGAGAGTAGTTTTTGTTTTATAGGAGTTGCATGTTGAAGTGTTTGGGTGAGAATAAGAAAAAGAAAACTTGGGAAAATGTTGATTATTGATGATTTTAGGTGAAGGGTATGCAGGTGTTCATTATATACAAGTGTCTACTATTCTTTCAATTTTCTTACAGATTTGAAAATCTTCAAACTAACAGTTTGGGGGGAACTACCAAAAATTAAGTGGTAATTTAAGATTTCTCTTCATTAGCTCCATGCTACTTACACTGCTGTGTTAACATTACACTATTAGTTTGTCTACAGATAAAAATGATTTGAGGGATGGGGATATAGCTCAGTTGGTAGAGTGCTTGTCTTGCATGCACAAGGCCCTGGGTTCAATCACCAGCACCAAAAAAAAAAAAAAAAAAATTTGGATTTCTAGAGTAGATTTATACATGACTGGTGTGTTTTTTGACAGGTGCCTTGGAGCAGTATGCTAATTGCCTGGATCTGGTAAACAAGAGGCTACCGTATGGCCTCGCTCAGATTGGAGTTTGTTTTCATCCTGTTTCTGACATAAAGCAGATTCCTAGTGGTGTTAAAAGGTATAAAATATGGCAAATAACCTAGCCTTGTATTTAAAAATGGTCAAGAACCAGATATTTCCACTTTTGGATAAATTATAAAATTTTCTGATGAGCTAACTCTGATATTTTTGATGTCTAAAGAATTGGTGAGAGGACTGAAGCTTCACTAGTATGGTTTACTTCTGCAAGGACTTCAAGCCAGTGGCTTGATTTCTGGTTGCGTCATCGACTCCTGTGGTGGAGAAAGGTACTACAATTATAACTTTATAGTTAAGTAAATCATCTTAATGTGTCAAAAGTAATGCTTCTGTGTCACAAATGAACTTAGATTTGATGTAGCTACATTATATTTGTAAGAGATAGCTATAATAAATCAACAAATAAAAATAAAAATTTTTTGTAATGACTTTCATTGTTCAGATTATAGACTTTCTTTGGTAAAGACACTTTTTGAGCTCAGATACTGTTGTTGATAAGAAGGTAGAGTTAAAGCCAGGCATGGTGGTTTACTCTAGTAGTCCCAGTTACTCAGAAGACTGAGGCAGAAGCGTTGCAAGTTCAAGTTCAGACGGGGCACCTTAGCAGGCACTGACTCAAAAAGAGCTTGTGGGGAGTGGGGGGTAGCTCAGTGGCAAAGCACTTTCCTAGTATGCTTGATGCCCTGGGTTCAATCCCCAGTACTGAGAGAACCATACAAGGTAGAATTCAAACCCCTCACCTGCCATTCTTCTCTGGGGAGAGTTCGACCCTTTCCTCTTTCACAGCGTCAGCATTTGCTTCCTACCTCTGTAAATGTTCCATGTTAGTCAAAATGGTTTTTATAATTTAAAATCATGTTTTTTTATATAATGAAAAGTTGAAGGGTTTTGTATTGCTGTTGTCTTACCTTTTCCCAACTTTTAAAAATCCCAAACCTAAACTAAACGGAAAAATCATAAATAACCAAGCACTTTACAGAAGGATAAGAATGGTAACCACACTTTTTTCTTTATCCAGTTTAGTTCATGTTTAAATTCCCTCTTATTCATTGGCTACAAAAAGTAGCATCAATAGTTTTTCTCACCTGTTCTTTCAGACTAAAAACGAGTATGTTTAGCAGTATACTCACGCATACTTAATTAAGTTTCAGAAGTTTTACTTGGGACTTGACTGGTTTCAGTCAGTTGCTGGATAGAGTCTTAGGCAACTTTAATTCTTAGGACTAATTAGGGGATTAGTGGTAAAAAGTTAATGAGACAAACTTTCTTTTCCAGTTTGCCATGAGTCCATCTAATTTCAGCAGCAGTGATTGTCAGGATGAAGAGGGACGTAAAGGAAACAAACTTTACTACAATTTTCCCTGGGGAAAGGAGCCAATAGAAACTCTGTGGAATCTAGGGGATCAAGAACTCCTACGCAAGTATCCTGGAAATGTGTCTAAATTACACGTACGTTTTTCCTTGAGCTCCTGTGTGCTTTTTTTACCCAGATTCTCTGTGATAATTTCTGAACCATTTGAGAATGATTACAGACCTGGTGTCCCATCACCCTTTAATATTTCAGTGTGTATTTTTCAGGTGACCCCTCTATAACCACAATGCAGCCATCAAAGTCAAGAAATTAGCAGCAATCCATTGTTACTATCCATTCCACAGAACCCTTCAGATTCAACTGGTAGGCCTGGTGAGGACCTTTATAGATCCAGGATCTAATCTGGATCATGTGTGTTCTATAGTCTGCTTCAGATGAACAGTTTCTTTTGTCTTTCTTGATCTTTCATGACCTTGGCACTTTTGAGGTGTGCAGGCTAGTTGCTTTGTTCTTTCCCCATTTATTCGTTTTCTTGTATTGGTATGGATTCACAGATTTCTATTTTTATGATAGGGTCCAATCTATTACTGTCAGTATTGATTTTCATTCCCAAATTGTCCTAGACATTTCCGGTGTCCTTTACTTTTCGCCCCTGTGCTGGGGATTGAATCCTTATGCATGGGAAGCAAGCTCTCTATCACTGAGCCACATCCCCAGCCTTCCAGTGTCCTTTTGACATGTTCCATCATCCTCTCTATTAGCACCTTCTCACCTTTTTATAACAAATTGTCATAAAAATATGAAGTTCATTTTATATTTTCTTTATTTAGCTATGAAGTCAGCCATTTCCTATTAAAGGACTAATGTATTTAAAAACAGATTTTGCTATGAGGTATATTCCATATAACCAGAAATCAGTGCTTGGGGCCCTATCCTGGGTACAAGTAGGAAATGTGGATGATTGCATATGTGTGTATTTACACACTTAACCTCTGTTTGTATCTCTTAAAATCTAGGAGTTCATACTAGTTCTTCAGATTCCACCCCAATGCCATGGAGTTTATTCTAGTTTTCCGTCTGTGCTAATTTGTAATTCTCTTCTTTGACAGCAACCTGGCTCCAAGTATTTTCAGTGTATTTACTTATTTTTCATTTGGCCTATGTAACCAAACTCCCTACCATATTTAGACAAAGCTCAGCTCCAGATGCACCATCCTTCCACCCCCATACCCTGGATGGATGTGAAGGAAGAAGGAAGAGAGGCTAGTTGGAAAAGTGGATACTGAGTATGCTTTCTCGCCTAGTGTTCTCACCAGAGCACAGGGAAGGAGGAAAGTGTGGCCCTGTTCACTCAGTCTCCTCTCTCCTCTACCAGTCACGCTGGCCACAAGTTTGGCCCTTGACCTTCTGGGCTGGATGTACCAAGCAACTTTAAAAGCTCAGCCCTGGCAAGGGGGAGAAACAGTGCTTCCTTTACTTCATAAAGTAAAACAGAATTTTCTAAAATTTAAGCAGATGACATAATCCCTTAAGAGAAGGGACCCTGCCTTCTAAAACTTCACTCCTTTGGCGAGGAGGAGCTGTGTTGTATCGCTCGAGTGTGGATTTTCTGACTTGCACGGGTGGGAGTTTTATGTGCCATTGGGGCTAATATAGTCTGACAGGGAAAAAAGGTGCCTGCAACTTGAAAGGGCTTGGATGATGAAAACGAACGGGTTGAGTAGCCCTCTCTGCAATGCCTGAGACTAGAAATGTTCTGAATTTGGATTTTTTTAGTTTTTGGAATATTTGCCGTATATATAAAATAAGATACCTTGGTGAAATTAATTTCAAGTTCACATTCACCTCATTCACGGACACTGCAGATAATTTTAGGTAATATTTTCATGTGCCTGGGTTTTGACTTTGAGCCATCACATGAGGCCAGGTGTGGAATTTTCTACTTGTGGTGCCATGTCAGTACTCAAAAAATTTTGAGTTTTTGATTTTCAGTTTAGGAATGCTCAACCTATAATTCATGTATAACAAATAGAAAGCTGATTAATTTTGAAATTTGAATAAGATACCTAACAAATAATTAGCTTATTCACGAACATTTTCCATAATTCTACTAAGGTCATACTTCATTTTGGGGTATTTCAACTCTCAAATGAAACTTACTTCACTAATTATTACAAAGACCAAATCAAACTTGTGAATAGTGATTTAAGGATGATCTTATATCATGGCTGTTAGTCACATGATAGTCTTTATTTTGGTCTGGGGATTGAACCCAGGGGTGCTTAACCACTGAGCTACAATCCCTTGTCTTTTTAATTTTTTATATTGAGAAGACTTCTCAAAGTTGCTTTATGGCCTCACTGAGTTGCTGAGGCTGGCCCCAAATTTTCAATCCTCCTGCCTCAGACTCCCAAATTGCTGGGATTATTGGTGTGTGCCACTGTACCCAGCTCATGATATTCTTTTAAAAAATAATAATAATAATTTTTTTTTAGTTGTTGATTGGCCTTTATTTATTTACTTATATGTGGTGCTGAGAATCGAACCCAGTGCCTCACACATGCTAGACAAGCACTCCATCAACTGAGCCACAACCCTTGCCCCTCATGATATTCTTTATTGGAGTAATTTTCACAAATGAAACATTTTCTACTGCACAATTTTTGCTCTTCCATGGAATTATTCTTCTATTTCTGTAGTTCACACAATTATTCATCATTAGGTGAACATATTGTAAATTATTAAGTAGAATTTCTGCCATTTGGTGTTTAGCTTTGAGAGCTGGGAATGTAGCTCAGTGGTAGAGCACTTGCCTAGTGTGCGTGAGACTCTGGGTTCAGTCCCCAGCACTGCAAAAAGCAGAACAGTAAAGCAATTCAGTGAAGGCTGAACAGTTAAGACAGAAATTCAGGGCTGGGGATGTGGCTCAAGCGGTAGCGCGCTCGCCTGGCATGCGTGCGGCCCGGGTTCGATCCTCAGCACCACATACAAAGATGTTGTGCCTGCTGATAACTAAAAAATAAATATTAAAAAAAAAAAAAAAGACAGAAATTCATTGTAGAAGATACGAGAAACCAAATGCTAGATATTCTAGCTAAGACCAATTACCATTAGATAGCTTGACATCCATGGATATTCAGTTTTAAAATATTAGAAAACAAAACATTCTTAATACTTAATAACAAGCAGGCTTTCTCTTGCAGTGCCTCAGAATTATCTTACTCAATATCAGTTCTATAAATGTGTGAAAGACTTCAACTCTTAATGGAGTTAGATTAGATATCAGAAAGCTCAATGCCCTTTGAGGGCAAGTTTTTAATCTTTTGAAGTATCATATGTAATTCAAATGTCTGTATGTATGTGTATTAATGAAGACTGTTTGATCATGGATAATTAAAAGAAGTTGAAGGTTGTTGTTTTTTAAGCATTCAAAAAAAAAAAAAATCACAGCCAGGTGCAGTGGTATGTACCTATAAACCCAGCTACTCAGGAGGCTGAGATAAGGAGAATGGCAAGTTCAAGGCCTGCTTGGGCAACAAGACTGTCTCAAAATAAAATATATAAAGGGTTTGGGATGTACATTAGTGGTAAAGCACTTACCTAACATGTATGTGAGGACCTAGGATCAATACCCAGCACTGCAGGAAAAAAATAATAATAACAATGATAATAGGAAGAAAAGAAAAAAGAACTGTTTTAAAACTTGAAAGTTTTTTAAATTGAATTTTTTTCATATTTGAGATGATTCTTCAATTTAAAAGAGAGAAATAAGTTTATCAATACTTGATGTATATAATGTATTTATTGTATTTTATATTCATAATTACAGCTCTAACCCAAAAGTCAAGTTCTTAAGAGATGTTTATTAGAGTGTTCCCTTTCTAGCTACCATTCACCTAGGAAGCACTGAGAAAAGGTGGCACTTGCTCCACTCCAGCTTAGTCCATCCATTCTGGGTGCAGAGCCCAGCACTGTTGTGTTGTAGATTCACAGCTGACTGTGAGTGGCTGCCTGGGATCCACTGGTGAAATCTGAACTCCCTGTGCAGAATGTGTCCCCATTATATTTGTGCCCAGTGCCTAGCATAGGCCTGGTCCAGACGGGATGCTTTGGGAATTGAATTCTTAAGTTTGTATTCTGATCATATAATTCTGAAATATATAATTTTAATAAAGAGTTCTGTTAATGTGACAACTTCAGTCTTTTCTGTGAAGGGCCGAGATGGACGGAAAAATGTGGTACCTTGTGTCCTGTCTGTAAGTGGGGATCTGGACCGAGGCGTGCTAGCCTACCTCTATGATTCTCTCCAGCTCACCGAGAACTCCTTTGCAAGGAAGAAAATCCTTCATAGAAAGGTGCTTTTGATATTTCAGAGATGGACTTGGGAAACTAAACTTAGGGAACTTTTTCCTTTTTTTATGTTAATTGTGCCCTTTTTCTCCCTCTTGCTTGTGACTTTTAATTGCCTTAGGTCCTGAAGCTCCACCCTTGCTTAGTCCCTGTAAAGGTGGCCTTGGATGTGGGAAGAGGCCCTACGGTGGAGCTAAGACAAGTGAGTTCACCTGCAAGCTGTGATTTTAATTATGACTCTTACTCCAAGTGAACTTGGTAGCTTGCCACTTGAAATTTTATTTTTATTTGCTTACTTTTGAAATGTTTTAATTAAATATTGAACTGTGGATAAATACTGTGGTTAATTACAGACGGATGAACTATGGTATAAAGGAGGCTGAATACAATTCAGTGGATTTTGCTGTTGAAGTCATGCCCACTCAGTTTCATATTTTAATGATTTTATATAGTTTTAGGGCTTGTGATGTAGCTCAGTGGTTGAGAGCTTGTCTGCAACGCCCTGGATTCAATCCCCAGCATCACCAAAAAAAAAACCCACAAACAATTTTAGCAATTAAAATATGTATACAGATGTCTAATGGATTATTTCTTTCCATTTTAACTTAATGCTTGTTGATATAAGCAGAGGTTCTAGATCAGTGATTTTGGTTTTTCTTACCTGTCTTGGTCTAATGATTAAATATTATTGAGAAAAACCAGTGGCTTGGTTTTCATTTTTTTCCGGAGATTCCTTTTTTCATTTTTTTTTGGAGATTCCTTTTTTAGCTGTCATCATTTCTGTCCAGGACTGAGACCCACCCGGCCTCTCTGGTGAGGTCTGTAAAGTGGCAGTAGTGAGCCAGCAAAGAGGACTGTGGCTTGTGCTGCACACCCTTGCAGCTTGCAAGTTCCTAGGGTTTGAGAAACTGCTCTCAGGGACACCATTTGGTCATATCTGGAGGCATTTTTGATAGTCACAGGAGGGGAAGTGGGGTATGGCCAAAGCCCCTGTGTCTGAAGTGCCCAGGGGACAAAGCCAATGCTGGCCATTATAAATTTTCCTTTGTTTTGCTTTGCTTTCCTGCTCATAGAGAAGAAGTAAGGTCCACTGTGTCATTTAATAGTCATTACTTTTCCATTTGCAGTCAGACTTTGTCCATTCTCTCGGGACATTTCTGTGATTGGCTTCTGGAATTCCATGCTACAAGTTTTTCTCACATTTTATCCTCCTGGCTCTTCTCTCTCTTTGATAATGGTAGCATAATCCTAGGGCTCAATTTTCACCTCTCACATGAGTTGAGAGTTAACATTGCTCTTTGGACCTGTTTTTTATCTGACAGAACCAGTTTTAGTTTAATTGGGTTTGTTTTGAATGATAATGGTGATTAAAAATCATTTGATATAAAAATATCTCTCAGAAGATATTTTATCTTCTGACTCCAGACTTTTTATATCCCCCTACCCACACCCCACAAGGCTTATCCAAAGGTGGAAAGTTCTCTAGAGGTAAGATGAACGCTTCTCGCATCCTCAAATCAACTCTAAATATATCTATAAAAATTTTTTAAAAATTAATATGGGATATTAATGCCTCATTATTTATTTATTTTTGCAGTACTATGGATTGAACTCAAGGCCTTGTATATGATGGGCAAGTGCTCTACTCCTGAGCCACACACACCCCTACTCTTTTTATTTCATTTTATTTTGAGTCAGTGTCTTGCTGAATTGTCTAGATTGTCCTCAGCTTGTCCAAGTAGCTGGATTACAGGTGTGCACCACTTCACCTGGACTTAGAGATTGAAGAAGGTGATTTGTGGTTTCACAAAAATAGGACACTGTTTTTCCTTCTTTCTATTTGAGGTCTTTATATTTTTCTTCAGGTTTGTCAAGGGCTATATAATGAATTACTAGAAAGTGGAATTTCTGTGTGGCCTGGATACTTGGAAACCTTGCCATCTTCATTGGAACAGCTTTATTCAAAGTAAGAGTGAGTTATTTTCCTTGCATAAGAAATGTGTTTTTTTCAGTTATTACATGTGTCTTTAGTTAATGACAATTGAAATAAAACTCGAAATGTATATGTAATTTAAAATTATTCCTTATTGTCCCTTTTATAGAGCCATGTGCCCTTTAATAAACCTATTAAGTCCCACATTCTCAATTCTGCAAATATTTCAACAAAATTGACACAGGTGTACTAAATTGGTTGGAAATCATAATCTAGAATTTACATATGTATATGTAAATTATATATTTTTTAATAATTTAAGTTGGGCACAATACCTTTATTTCATGAATTTATTTTTATGTGGTGCTGAGGATCAAACCTATTGTAAATTATATATGTAAATTATATATTTTTTAATAATTTTTTTAAGTTGGGCACAGTACCTTTATTTCATGAATTTATTTTTATGTGGTGCTGAGGATCAAACCTATTGCCTTACACATATGAGACAAGCACTCTACCACTGAGCTACAACTCCAGCTCCTGGAAATTATATTTTTTAAACACTATATTCATTCATCTATTACTTTTCTCAAAAGACTATGTAGACCTCTAAAAAATAATAGTTATTTAAAAGTTGCCATATGTGGTGGTATATCTGTTACTCAATTCAAGTTTCACCTCTGGGATGAGGGGACAAAATGGGTTAATTGCTATAGCAGGGAACAAAAGGTACATTTGAGCACATGCTGTGTACAGTTCTAAAGCTTCATGTCATGAAGTATGTGTACCTCAGTTTATCCATTAGAGACGACATTACATACATAAGGTGCATTTGTTGAATCAGAACTCAAGGAATATGATGCCTTTCCTTGGCTCATTCTGAGATTAAGGGGAAGAGAATTCTACCCAAGCAGAGAGAACTAGTCTTCTCAGGGATTGGCACCTCTGCTCACCAGATTGCTCAAGACTGAAACTGGTTACTGGTTGATCACCCTTAACCTGAAAATTCAGAATCTGAAATGCTCTGAAACCTGAAACTTTTTGAGTGCTGACGGTTCACAAGTGGAAATTTCCACACCTGACCTCATGTGACAGGTTGCGGTCAAAACCCAGGTGCACCAAAGATGTCAGCCTGCCTCCTAAATAGATGTCAAATTCACATCTCTGTCTTTATAGTTAAGGTCATCCAAGTTAAGGTCACCAGTATCTTTTGTGTAGTATTGGATTCATCTCCTAATTGATCTCCCTTTATCTAGTCTTGCTAGTTCTGCTATTTTATTAATAAAAATGATTCATTCTTCTTTCTTTTTGGGTGTATTTTTATTTACTTATTTATTTTTTACTGTTTGTGTTGAATATATGTCTTTTGGATAAAGTGATCTGAAAGTTTGTATTCTGAACTCCTTAAAACTTACCTTCTGGATAATGTCTGCAAAAAATAGCTTTCTATTTTTAGAAACAGCAACTAATGGTTTTATCATATATCAAATGAAGAGATTGAACTTTCCAGTCCTCACAGGTTCTAAAACCTTACCTTTGAGTCATGCGGATGTAACAAGTATTGTTATTATTTATGCGGCTTTTGTCCCCCACATATTTTTATCCATATATTTATTATTAAATACCACTGTGCCTTATGCATTTTGATACTGAACAAGACAAAGTTCCCTGGTCTTGGTTTTTGTGAAGCTAGTATCTAAAACAGATAACAAATAACTAAATAGATAAAATAGTTTTAATGGAATCCTACAAAGGAAGTAAGCATTTAATGAGATAGTGTGGCTTGCTGAGCAGAAAGGCCAGTGTAGATATATTCAGTGATTGCTGAACTACAAACTCTATTAGCATGCTATAAGTTATAAAAAATGCGTGTAGTTGGTATAATTTGCTGTACACCTGATCTTTACTATAACATTGTTTATTATACTAGACTTTAAAATCATTGTTCTTGAATTACAGCCAAGTTCCAAAGGCTGTGGGAGTTATGAGGTTCATCCATATCACACCAAATGTGTGTTGAGGTGCCAATGTTTATGTCTCTGGTTTTAGTTTCTCAAGAATTCCTTAATTACAATCCATTACAAACTCTAGGAATTTTGCTTTGAATATGATTCGGAAACAAAAAAAGTTGGGTTTGTCTGCTTCAGCTATCAGGCCCTGACCTTGAGTTGGAAGTGGCAGGGCTGTGGTTGAAGCTGGCACTGTGGGTTTGTGTATTTGAGTTCATGTGTTTTGTTGAACTTCTCTTTTCTTAGGTATGATGAAATGAGTATCCTTTTCACAGTTTTGATTACTGAAACTACTTTGGAGAATGGATTAATACATCTGAGAAATAGAGATACCACAATGAAGGAAATGATGCATATATCCAAATTAAAAGACTTTTTAATCAAGTATATGTCATCAGCTAAGAATGTATAGGTTTTCACATTTGTATAATAAATACTCTCCTAATTTGGTTGTTTTATGTTCATTTGGATTGTTTTTAGTTCCTTTGCACTCAGAAGTAGACATTTTTTGGTGTTTTCTTTGATTCATTTGTTGTTATACTTTTGATATATTTTATCGTATCAAGAATATGTTAAGCTACAAGAAACGAAAATCCTACTATACTGGTTTAAGCAATTTGAGGTTTGTTTTTCTCATATAACAAAAAATGGTGGGGACAGACCATCTAAAGCTAGTGTAACTGTATAGTTAGGGACCTAGGCACTGGGTTGACCACCATCTGTAGTATGTTGACTTGTTGCCTCCTGATCACAGGTGACTGCTGCATTTCCAGCCTTCTTGTCCACCTTCTAATTAGGAAAGTCAAGGAGACAAGAGCTAGCCAGTGAAGATTCTTCCCATTTTAGTTATGAAAATAAGAGCTTTCCTAGTCACTGCAATCAGAAGATCTCTCCATCTCATTGATCAGAATTGGGCCATGTGGCAGTTGGTCCAGGATCAGTCACCATCTAAGGAAATGAGAATGCACTGATTTAGTAAAATGTAGCTTATCCCTTGGAGTACAGTATTATCTTACTGTCTGACCATGGGTTTTTTTATCAGGAAAAAAAGAGGGTTTTGTAGTCCCAAGGATTGAACACAGAGGCACTTTACCACTAAGCTATATCCCCAGCCCTTTTTATTTTATTTTGAGACAAGGTCTTGCTAAGTTGCTGAGGCTGGCCTAACACTTCCAATCCTCCTGCCTCAGCCTCTTAAGTAGCTGTCTCAACATAAAAAATTCAAGAAGGGCAGGGGCTATGACTCAGTGGTAAAGCACCCTGGGTTCAATCCCTAGTACACGGGAGGGGCGTAATTTACATAAAAATAAATTTACCTATTTCAAGTGATAAGTTTTGACAAGTAACTGCCAACACAATGATAACAGGACATTTTCATCACCCCAAAACATCCCCTCATGCCATTTTAGTATGCCTTAGTAGGAAACCTTATTAGGTTGAGAGCTACATAGCTGGACTGTTTCTTTTTGACAGAACTTCCCCCAACCCAGATGCTTTTAATAAATTTTCATGATCATAAATATTTTATTTATTCTTATGTGGTGCTGAGGATCGAACCCAGGGCATCACACGTGCTAGGTAAGTGCTCTACCGCTGAGCCATATCCCCAGCCCTCATATTTTCACCAAGTAAAAATTTACAGACTTTAAATTTTTTCTCTCATTGATGTTGTTAAGCCACATTGCTCTCTATTGAAACATGTTAGAAACCTATGAGGCTGGGTGCAGTGGTGTGTGTCTGAAATCCCAGCTACTCATTGGCTGAGGCAGGTGGATCACAAGTTTGAGACTAGCCTGGGCAACTTACCAAGATCTTGTCCCCCAAAATAAAAAGGACTGGGGATGCAGCTCTGTAGTAGAGCACCCCTGAGTTCAACCTCCAGTCCTGGGGGTGGGGGACAGAAAAACAGTCCTGAAACTCATTGTTTACTTAGCTATAAGAATGTTCTTGGAGACAGTGGCCTGCTATGTTTATAGTATGTCCTCATGTGAAGAAGCATAGAAATTTTCCTGATTTAAATATCAGGGATTGTGTGTTTCTCCTGAATCACTGACCTATTACATCTTTACATTGGCCTTTTATCCATAGGTTGAATCCCATCCATGGGTTCAATCAACCGTGGGTTAAAAGTACTCGGTGGGGGGGGGGGACACAAAATCTTGCATCTGTTTAAACATACTCCCCCGCTCTGTTATTATTCCCTAAATAACTGTTTGATGGAATTTACTTGTCTCGGGTGTACATACTCTGGAGCTGACTTAAAGCACAGGGGAGGATGTGCACAGGTTCTGTGCACAACTGTGGATCTTGGTATCCAAGGGGAATTCTGGAACTAATCCCCATAGATACTGAGGGACGACTGCATTTTTGTTCATTCACAAAGACTATAGGTGTCGAGGACCTCCCAGCAGGAGCAGGTGAGACAATGAACAGGTAGGGACTCCAGGAAGGCCTTCTAGACGTGTGATAGAAGTGGAGAGGTGACGTGCTGGGTAACAGCTGGGCAGGGAGCTCTACAAAGGTGGTCAGAAAATTGAGAAGGAATGATGCCAAGGAGCAGCCTTATGATGTGTTCTGGACAGAGGGACTGAGGCACCCAGATAGAGGAAAGGCCTGAAATAACCCCAGAGCAGAGAGCCAGCCAGGAAGGCAGGAGTGAGCAAAGGGGAGACAGGTGGGAGATGAGACCCCAGAGGGCACATCCCTTCCACGAGGGCCACAGTGAGGAGGTTGGAAACCACTGGGACAGGAGGGGACAGTTCGAGTAGAGAGTGGGCATATTGTTCATTTGAAAAGATCTCTATGGGGCCTGGGATTGTGGCTCAGTGGTAGATCATTCACCTGGCATGCGCAGTGCCCTGGATTGGATCCTCAGCACCACATAAAAATAAATGAATGGAATAAAGGTATTGTGTCCAACTACAACTGAAAAAATAAATATTAAAAAAAAGAAAAGATCACTGTGGAAAAGAGAATGCAGAGGAGCAGAAAGGAGACTGTGAAAGGACTCTGACCTTAGCCCCATAATGGTGGCAGGACAAGGGGTGGGGGTGCAGCAATATCTTCCTAAACCCCGCAGGAGGATCCCTGCCCAGACTTTGCACTCCAGATGGTCATTTCTCAGGGAAAGGTCATGCTCTGGCGCACTCTTCCCACGGGACATCTGATGGGCCACAGAGACAGGCACAGATGTCCCATGATCCTCAGGTGTCTAATTTCTCTAGCCTAAGTTATGTGCCACTGGAGAGCTCAGTCACTGTCTCTGGCAGTGCATACTGGGAAAGGGTCAAGGGTTAGGAATGAGTCCATTCTCCTCCAGGGCAGCTGAGGAGAGAAGGGAATTAGCTCCAGGCTTCCTGAACCCATTGCTGATCATGCCCAGGCAGGTCTCCCTTGACAGCCTGAGGGAGAGGCAGCACAAGAGCAAGCCAAGGAGGCTGTAATCCTCCACCCTGGGAGCGGGAGCAGGACCAGCGGTGGGGGCCCAGAGCACACGCCTGCCAACGACTCCTCAGCCCAGCGAGAGATCTATAGATTATTGGCTGTTATCATATCTTAAATATGCCCCTAAAGACAAGTTCCCCAGCTGAAGGGGTTTGGGAGATAATGAAAACATTAGGAGGTGGGGCCCAGTTGGAGGGAGGCTGTCCTGGGAATGTGCCCTTGAAGGGTTGGTCACCAGTCCCTGTCTCTCCCTCTGCTTCCCCACTGCCTGGAGGTGAGGGGCTCTGCTCTGTTCCGTGCTGCCCCCCTCCAAGATGTTCTGCCTCATCAGAAGCCCAAAGCCACAGGGCCCCCACCCAGCAACTGCAGACTGAAACCTCCGAGACCTTGAGCTAAAATAAATCTTTCCTCCTTTAAGTTGTTTTTCTCAGGTGTTTTGCCACAGAGACAGAGCCCTGACTAACACACTGGTCTTTTTCTTAATGATTAGTAAAAGCTCATTATGCATTATGGAACTTTGCACTTTATCTGAGACCTGAGTTCACAATGTTTCCCTTTCATTATTTTTGTGACTTAATTGAGGTTTTTACTTTAAATATAATTTTTAACTGGTTTATCTAATCAAATGTCCTTCATGTCTTCTGGATAGTAAGTCAAGCCTAGGAAAGTCGTCTCCATTTTAAGATTATTTTCATTTAAAAAAAATTTGTTTGGTACTATGGGTTGAACCCAGAGGTAATTTTCCATTGACCTATACGTCCCCAGTCCTTTTCATTTTTATTTTAAGACAGGTTCTCACAAAGTTGGTTAGGGCCTCTATATATTGATAAGGTTGGCCTTGAACTTGTTATCTTCCTGTCTCAGGTTTGTTTGTGTGTTTTGTTTTGTTTTGAGAGAGAGAGAGAGAATTTTAATATTTATTTTTCACTTCTTGGCGGACACAACATCTTTGTATGTGGTGCTGAGGATCGGACCCGGGCCGCATGCACTCCAGGCGAGCGCGCTACCGCTTGAGCCACATCCCCAGCCCTGTTTGTGTGTTTATTTATTTATTGAGATGAGGTCTTGATATTTTGCCCAGGCTGGTCTTGAATTTTGGGGCTCACATAACTCTCCCATCTCAGCTCCCTGAGTAGCTGGGACTACAGACACAGGCCATTGGACTGGCTAAGTGGCACTCTGGAACCACATTACTGGGTAGGGGGTGTGGCTCCATGGTAGGGTGCTTGCCTGGCATGCATGAAGCCCTGGGTTCCCTCCCCAGCACCACAAAAATGAAAACAAACCGCATCATAACCCTCGTCAAATAGGAGTTCAGAAGCCTAGGAAATTACAGGTGCCTTGCCCCTGGAGCAGGGCACGTGGTGATCCTCCACTCACAAGAGCAGGAGGTGGGGCAGGGGCAGAGAAGCCAGGCGCTGTCCTGGCAAAGCTCTGCCCTCCACTCTGGCCCCCAGTTCCTCCGCAGGAGGCAGCTGAGGCCCAGGCAGCAAGGGTAGTGTAAGAAAATCTACAAAGGATTACAATTAAAAAGAGAATTTAGCAAGAAGGCTGGATCCAAAGTCAACCTTCCAAAATACTGTTTCTATATATCAAAAACTGAAATAATAATCCTATTTCCCATTGTGTCAAAGTAACAAGTGCTTAGGAATACATCTAAAAAAAGATGTATTGAATCATCCTGGGTTCAATCATCCCTGATACCGATATATTTAAAAATATAAATAAAATAAAAACAAATAAATAATAAAAATCAGAAAAAAATCAAAACAGCCCTGGAGGGGGCTGGGGATGTGGCTCTAGTGGTAGTGCACTGCTGCACTGCCCTGGCATGCGAGCGGCCCCGGTTCGATCCTCAGCATCACATACAAACAAAGATGTTGTGTCCGCCAAAAACATAAATAAATAAATTAATAATAATAATAATAATAATAATAATAATAAACCAGCCCTGGAGAAAGAGAGGTTAGATCCTGAAACAGGCACTTAGTAAAAGAAGAACTCCCGGTAACATAAACAT